CTCCAACCTAAGAGCGGTGGCCTCCAAGGTAATAGTGATGGCCTCCAACCTAATGGCTATTAGGCTGGCTCAATCTCTACATGGTTTGGATCAAGACCCAGACAGCACACCCGGAATATGTGGCGCAATTTGTCCTTTCTTACTTGAACACCCATATGGTACTTGGTTTGTGTGTTGTGTCAAGTGAATTCAGGTTTTACAACCGTATCCCCAACAGCTTCAGGATACCTCGCTTAGAACATTTGACTTGACAGCACCTAGACATATGTTATATAGTTAGTTAGGGCCAAGACGAGAGATTGGGAACACATGGTAGCTGGTAAGAAGTCGGTGAAAGGCATCAGATCTTTTTAAGGGCCTGATTAAGGGCCTGATTATGATGTACTGAAGTTGTTTCTCACCCTCCTGCATGCGCCAATCACTTAGAACATATGTCAAACCAACACTCACACCAGATGTCCATTTGTACCAGCTACTTTTTGAGGAGTGTGTGGCCATTAGAAGCTAGCCAATACTGGAACCCGTATGGAACATGATCTGTGGCTTGGTCAGATTGACTGGGGCCTTCAATAGAAAACATACCCGAATGGCTTGAGGACATGTCACTTAGAACATTTCAAGCGGCTATGCCCGCTTCAACCTGTATGAACTAGAAAGCACACCGCTCAAAACATGTGACACTTCTTTTCTCCACTGTGTTGCCTGTTGTCTTGGCGTTGGCAACTGGTACCCTTCTTTCCACAGCTACGCAGCTACGCGAGCTTCTTAAGCCTTTGCAGGCAAACTGTACACACTTGAGTAGCTTTCATTTGACTTGCGCGGCTCTCTCCAAGACATTTTTGGAAAAGGTGAGCCTTGCAACGGGGCCCCCCAAGAGTGTAAACACAACTGACCGCTACTTGGCAAACATCTGCCTTCTGCGGCACAGTCTTTTCCTCCTCCTCCTCCTCCTCCTTCTCCTTGACCGGAAGCATCGGAGTTTTCTGTCGGGGATTCATGACAAGGTAGAAGAGCAATCCGCGCACATCTCTGAACAGGCACACAATGAGGTAGACAAACATGAGATCGGTCATTGCATCAGCAGCCAAGGGAAACTGCATCGGTTCCTATGATACTGCCAAGAACTAGTCTAGTGCCTGTAAGAAAATGCTGCAGGGCGCACGGCTTAACACGGAAAGCATCCCTGCTCTCCCAACAAACCTAGTCCAAGCCCCGCTGCTTGCAGCAAAGTGACCCATATCCAAACTCTTTCACTTGCATAGGTAACTCCATGAGTCAAGACTAGCGACAGCTCCCCTGCAGCCAAAAGTCTGCAGCCGGTGGCAACCTTCATAAGAATGACTGATCAAAGCATGCTTTTTGTTCTAAGCCAGCATTTAGGCCAATGTTCTTACCATTGTTCTTAGCCTGGACTTTTCTCCAGACATATGTTCTAAGTGCACACTTAGAACATCGGCTTATCTGTGACTCATCTTGTTTTTTTTTTCCAAAATATGTTCTAAGTGGGTGTCCGGCACTATATCTCTCTCTCTCTCTCTGTCTCTGTCTCTGTCAGTCTCTTTCTCCTTCTCTTTCTCTCCCTCTCTCTCTCTCTCTCTCTATCTCTCTCTCTCTCTCTATGTCTCTCTCTCTCTCCGTGTTTCCTTCCACCATGCTACTCTTTCCCGCAAAAATCAGGTGGATTCTCATTCTCCTGGCGTCAAGGATGGTCCTTTCGAGACCTATCCAGGCAATACCTGCTCAGCCCTTCGACCTGACCTCGTCACCTGCCAGATTCTGATGCTGGAGGCTTTTCGAAGGACTCGGCTTCGAAACCGGACGGAAAGGACCAATGACTGCCGAGCTTCCACCTGAGATGTACGAACAGCTGTGCAAAAAGAAACACTTCCTGTGGAAGAATCGGTCTCTGTCATCGTCCCGTCACCACAAGTCAGCCCAGGTCGCTGGTCCCGTCGCCCCCGTTCCTCGCCATCGGCACCACTGTCCGGCCTGGCGGTGTGGGGCACCTGGCAGACCGAGCCATAGCGGGCCATCTGCTGAGGCATCAACTGCTTCGCGGCAAACGTGAGCCCCAAGTGATGGAAGCGAGCCTGGCGGATGGGGGAAGGCGAAGCGTGGAGGCGGTGGGATGCCGTGGGGGTCGACATGGCGCGGAAGCGTGGAGGCCGGTCGACAGGGCGCAGTCGACCTGGTTTCCCGCACACGACCTCGTGCCTGTCTGTTCCACCTGTGTCCATCTCGGTCGCACGGACGTCCCCACGAGTTCGGTCCGCGTGAAGGCAAGCCTTCCCGAAGGAGTCGAAGTGATCCTTCAGCGACAAGGATTTCATCTTCTCCCCGAGCCTCACGAGACCCAGATAGAAGGCTCCAAAGACGGCAAAACAAAAAATGAGGAATGGTCTTCTCCCGAATTCATATACCCAGCCTGTACATTGGACCCAGGAGCAGGTGTGCTGCATCTGCAGGAAGGAGTGCTTATATCTACGTTCTCTTCAAAAAAAACAATCGGGATGCAACACTCTGTTCCCTCCGATGGCTGCGTATATCTCCGTTGGTTCAAACCACTGGGTCTACGGCCCCCCTCCCATCCCTCCCATCCAAGACGGTACCGTATCTCCCACAAAAGGTTGAAACTCATGTCCCACTCCTGCCAAGAACCCATTATGTTCTGTAACACCTTGCTACAAGATAATGGACAATTCCCACCATAGTGCCCAGTCACGGGTGTTCCACATCTCTGATCAACAGAAAGACAGATTTCGAAAAGACCCAATCTGGCCCAGTCTGAACCCAAACCCGATCGCGGCGGAAAATCAAGGCGCGTCCATCGGCGCGGACCAAAGCGGTGGGCCAAGCAGCTCCTCCTTTTCAAAAATGTCAAAGGCACTCACTGCCTCAGCTGCCGCCGGGGCGGAACTCCTCTCGAAGAGGAACTCCAAATGCCTCGGGCCGTGTGGCGACGGTCCACCGCGTAGGAGACGGGGCGTGAGACAACCCATGCAGTCCCATGCAGACTGAGACGCGGGGAAGTCGTCACCCCAAAGAACCAACCTGAGGTGAATCAGTCAACCCGCAATCACGAGGAGTTTACAATCAAGCTGTGTCTATAGACACCCTGACAGAAGATGATCAATCAGAGACATCCTGAAAATGGGAACGCTTTAAACAGCTTGGGTTGTTTTGGCGCATCTTGGTCGGGTTCGTAAGATCGTGCGTCAGAAGCATGGTTTTTACCAATAGTGGCTTTAGTTTGGTGGCCTCTCGTTAGGTCTGTCCGGTCTGTCTGTGGGTCTCTGGTTTCCTCTTTCGGGGAGAGAGTGGGCGTCGTTCCTCATATGGACGTTCGTCTCGAAGACATGCGCGCAGTCGAACCCCCTGCGAGCTACAGCTTGCCTACACATTTCAACCCGACCCTTGTCTACTAATCTGATGGCATCATCGGAAGAACCCAGCTCTGGTCCCTGCTCTTCTCCAGCTCCTTGCACTTGCTTTAACAGCCATTCATGCTAAATGCATCTAAATGGTCATTGGGACAAAGCTTTAGGAGTTGCTCCTTGTGGCTCTGATTACCCTGGTCCTGTGTTGAACTTTCTGAACTCTCAAATTATGTCAGTCCGTTGACGTATTCAATGTGCAAGTGTATGTATATATGAGTCTAGTCTTCCACTGAGTTGCTTGGGCAAGACCGCTGGAACGATCGTCGGCATGGTCTTCACATGCGGCGCACCATGTATGGCCCTTAAGGCCCTCTGGCGCGCTTTGGGGGACTCGAAGGGCAGCGGCGTCGCGTCCTTCAAGGCGCGCGGCGTTGCCTCGAGCGAGGAGACATCGTCCTCCTCCCAGGACATCATGGCAGGTGGTGTCGTCTGGCCTGGTCTGAGCAACATGGAACTTGACTCCCTTGATCTCCTGACCTGAAGCTTGCATAGAAGTGGATGATAGGTCCTGATAGGTAGTAGGTGGAAGTCACAGTAGCATTTCACCCAATGAGTCCTACTTCAGATTCTTCCGCCAAAAGCCATGCAGACTCAACAGATTTACCTGCATGAACTGCTGCAAACATTGGTTCAAGTAGCAACCCCAAACTGCTCATTGGTGCCCAAAAAGGCACCCCTTAAGGGTGCTGGCTTGAGCCCAGCTGCGTGACGGCCTTCTGAAGAAACCCACCGCATGCCTGACTCCGTTTCTTTTCTGCCACAATGATCTTCAAGTATGGAACACAAAGTTGTCCACACAGAAGTCTTTTATCCCCCTTGAAACAAAGGAGGGGTTGGGGTTGTCCAGTTTGTAGAGGGACGAGTGACCAGGGTGGGAATCTACAAAAAGGTACCCCTTGAAATTTCGACGGGGATAGTCTTTCCCTATTTTTTGCTTGGCTTTGTAAAAAGCACTAGCATGTTCAGGACCCCGAAGGCCATTTTCCTGGCGGGACGTCACACGTATAGATATGATATATTGTATGTATAATATATATATATATACATGTGTATACATGCAGATTAGAGCCATGGTCGTCGTTCAGTGGGTTGTTGATCGATTGCTCGCAACCATTGAATTGAGAAGACTACTATAAATATATATATACAGCGCTTGCCATGACCAACAGATGGTTTCCCACTTCCATGTGATGTGTTCGTGGGAAAAGGTGCACTGCACCAGCCCTTTTTTGCATCCAGATCCTTTGGACCGTGTCAAAAGCAAGTCCTGTGGACCTTGGGGTGATTTGGGGTTCTGTAGATCATCATTGGTTGTTGCACCGGAACCACGAGATCTCGTGACCTCTCATTGACCGAAAACCTCTAAGGGCACGACTTTGGAAGAACCTGCCCTCTCGATCTCACGTCCACCCTAGCGGAAAAGCCCAACTGTTGCCGACCTCATTGAATCTCCGGGTCCTCAGGCGATTGACATCCCGCAGGGGTGGTGATTTGCTGAGAATGTCATAGATGCCGCAAAGGAAAGACCTGCCACAAGACCTACGATTTCTTCGGCCTCCCGTTGTGAGCGCAAGAAAGCTTGGTCTGCTGGGAGTTGAAGAGATGAATGCCAAAACGGGGAAGAACAGAAAAAAAACGTCGCAAGGAGGAGTGCTTCGACGTGGATCGTAGCACTCCGAGAGCCCAAGCCGGAACGTTACAACCCTTCTTGGCAGCACATGATGTAAAAGAAGCCTGGTATAGGGGGGTATCTCTTCATGGAAGCTTGGCATGTGCAGAATGGTCCGAAGTTCAAGTTGATGGAGCTTCCAACCGTCCCCAACAGACCTGAAAGACTTATGTCCCTAGTTAGGCAAAGCTGAGTGACCCACGCTCAGAAGAGGGGAAATGGTGTCGACAAGAACAGGTTCTGAACCAGGAGCGAAGGCAAGGAATCGATTTGCAATCACATGTCAGCCATCCGGTAGCCCACCGTGATCTCCGGTCTCCTTTCTTCTAAACGAACCCAGTCCCGAGTTCCATCTACAAAGATCCACCTGTGGCCTGCATCATCGCCCACCTGGGTCCGTTTTTTCACTTCCGACTCGTAGGGCCGTTTGCCTATCATAGCTCCCAAGAGAATGGGAATGTATGTGGGAGTGTATCTTCAAGACGACGATGGGTGCCTATGTTGACTTGGCAGGGAGTGTGGCGTGAAAAACCATCCTTTGTGGCTGCCCAGTGGCATATTTTCGCAGCATGTCCATGATCTCGTTGTTGTAGACCTGGGCGTCTGAAAACAAGACCGCTGAATTGGAATTGGGTCGTGGATCAAAAACAGAGTACACAGTACACCCCAGTCACACTAAAAAAACAACCTGTCACCTGTGGGCCGTGCAAGACGGAGTCTGGCACAAAGGGTCCACATGAGTCCACATGGGTCCACAGAGCTCCGCACATTGGCCAAATACTTCACGTTGCTGTAACCTGGCGCCGGCGAATCCAAAGCCACAAGTCACGACTTGTAGGAAAGCGCAGCTCAAAATCCCAGGTTAGCAGAACGGTGAAAACAGTTATTGAACGAATTATATAGCAGGATGGTGAGTTCAACTCCGGTAGGACTCATTGACTTCCAAAAGAGTCATAGTTTATGGACCCTCACCAGCAAGGTAGCTAATTGGTTGTGATACCCATGCAGATGACATGTTGCACCCCAAAAATACAACAAAAACAAAAATATGGTTCGCTCAAGCAAACCGCAGCCTAACCAGGTGAAGAACTACTTGGCGACATCATGATCTCATACCCACCTCCCGTCCACTCAAAAGACCGTCCAAAAAGGATCAACACAGCGCTGGCTGCACAATGCGAGAGCACTTCGATGCGATCATCCGTGATCTTATCACCTTCACCTGGGAGGAGGGAAAGCTTTCTACAGGAAGCCGAAACTGGCTGCAGCTGAAGCCCAGAAATAGGCCCAAACAAAATCCCCAACAGTCGGGCATGAACTTGGCAATGGCAACATCGAAAGGTTCATGTGCCTTTCAAACAATGCTGCTTTGAGACACGTGGCCCCGCCCCTTTCAATGTGCCATGCAAGCATCACCACATGGCAAAATGTGTGCTTGCATATGTGCAAGCATGGCCGCCCTGCAACAAGCAAAAACCATGGAATCTGCTCTGGAGCATGCCAGCATGTCAGCACGACAACCTGACCTGACGTCAGCATCCCAGCGTGACAAAAGTCGGCATGCTAGCGGCTAGCGTGACGCATGTTGGTGTGCCAGCATCACAACATCTCAGCATGAATGTTGGCATGACAACCGGCGTATTATAAAGCATGCTGGCGTGTCTACACGTCCCCATGGAAGCAGTATATACAACTTGAGAGAGGAGGGGGTGAACGAAAGGTAGCAGGCAATCACAAGTAACCCTGGTAGAAGTCCATGACGGCGTGAACCGGCGCAGGGGGGATTTGATCCAGGGGGGGGGGAACTCCAGATTGTAATACATTTTTGCTAAAGCAAGGAGAACTCAGGTAGCTCAAGCTACCTTTCGTGACATGCCATCATTTCAGCACATCAGCGTGACAACACCTCCGCATGCGAGCATGTCAGAAGAAACAGCACGACGTCATCATGACAGCATGTTTGGAAGCTAGCATGACAGAGTGGCACAGTGACTCTGTGTCGACGCAACAGCACACACCACGTCAGCATACCTGCAAAACTGCTGCAAAGCAAGGAAGGGAACTCCGGGACCTGCCCCAGAATATGCCCAGTGTTCGGAACCTACTCCAGAGCCTGCTTCGGAACCTGCGCCCAAACCTGCTCCAGAACCCGCTTCGGAACCTGCTCCGGAACCAGAGCCCCTTCGGAACTTGCATTGGAACCGGCTCCGGCAGTGTGAGGGAAATGTGCCTGAATTTGATTGTGCGGGTTTACGGGCGTACGCGTGCTTACGCAGGTTTATGGGTTTACACGTGCTTACGCCCGTTTGCGGGCTTGCCCGTGCTTATGTGGGTTTATGGACTTGCGCGTGCTTGTGTGCTTTCAAGCAAAATTATTGCTTTTAGAGCCAGACCGATTAAGATGTCTATTTTTGCGCTGTGCGAATTGGCTGAGTAGGTATTAGAACTGGCTATTTGGATCTATTTGGTAGGCCGGGCGTTGCCAAATAGCGGAAGCTTATGGTACCACCATGTCTGAGATAAAGCAACGGCAGGTTCGATGTTGTGTCTAGTTTTCCGCTGGGAACAGGTATTTGGTTGGATTGGATCGTTAAATCAGTGCGATTCGGTAAACCAGTGTAAAGCGGTGTAAGTCGGTAACCGGTGTAAATCGGTGTAAATCGGTAAACCGGTGCAGTCAAATACCAGACGCGCGCGATGTCGCAATGAGCTCCGGTACCACCTGCTCTGGAACATGCTCCGCAGCTTACGCCGAATCCTGCGGAACCTGCTCCGGAACCTGCTCCGGAACTTGCCTCCCGGAACCTGCTCGGGAACTTGCTCCGAAGTCTTTAATTGCTGTAGCTTAAGGCTTAAGACCCCTAAGCTTCCCTGTTGGGTAAACAAAAAGGAATTTCGGTGAAACTGGAATGTACACATGTCTGTAGAGCAACCCCAAATGGAGGCCTCATTCACCGAGAAGCTCTCCTGATTGAGAATGATAGGGTTTTTGACACAGGCCCATAGTTAGGTAGGGAGTTCAAGCCCAAACACAAAACCAATCTTATATATAGTGGTGTTTCTATTCTTAGAGTTGGGGCAAGGGCAGAAACGCGAAGCCTGTGTACATTGTACATTGCTGTTCCTAAAATAGAGCCAGGATTGCAATCTGCCAGGGAGGGACAGGGAGTTCTCTCCACCGCGCATGGGTGGTGGTCACTCCGAGCCAAATTGACATGGGTATCCCCCTCGCGGTGACATCTCAGGCGGAAATCCAGGAGCTTTCAGTGATCTTCGTGGGAAGGGTTGTAGTACATCCTTCGAAGACTATGACCAAGCGAAATACCCACGGGATGGATCCGGACTGGGACGAGCAACAAACGATTGAAGGATCGCATTGGCGACATACAAGCATGACTGAGGGCATCCGGGGGGGTGTACTCTTGGGAGAATGAGCCAAATGGCTGGATTGTGGTCCATTGAAAGACACACCGGCCTTGGCAAACACGCCGTTTCCGGTCTTTTGCCACGCAGACTCCAACTAGAAAGTCCTCACGCAACTCTCTGTGTCTTTTTGCCTACTTGTCTGATCTATGAGCCTGGCCAGCCAATTGAGAGCCTTGACTAGCCAACCTTCCTGGCCACAGTCCCTTGGGGGACCTTGCCCTTGATGAGCGTGTTGATGAACTTCAGCCGCTGCGAGTAATGTGACCGGGGCCTGGGTCGTCCCGCGGGGAAACTCGCGCGAAGTTCCGCGGTTCCTGGTGCCCGAAGAATAAGACGACTTCATGA